ATACTGACAGAAACTAAAATTCCTCCTTGTCTTCTTCGTCATAGAGAGACCTGTTTTCGTCAGTATCTTCATCTTGTACATTTTCGTCTTCCTCTTCATCATCGTTATCGTTATGGCGTTGTCGTCTTCGCGCAATATTTGCGACGTATTGATTCCGATTGCGAAGTCGTTGTTTGAATGTCTTCAACGCATCAGTCATTCCATCGGCGTATATGTCATTTGACAGCACGAAGTTGGGGTTTGCACTTAATGCCTCTGCAAATTTAAATATTTTTAATAACATTGATCTCTTCCAAGCAAACGAGAAATGATTTAAAATTATTGAAAATTTAAATACTGAATCCTATCTTTCTGATTCGAAAAAATAATTGAAATTATATATAGAATAAAGAGGATATAAATTTTTTGTATTCTTTCGGAAATACAGAGAAAATAGATGCAGAACAATTCAAGAATTGCAGAAGTATTGAAAAGAACAATTCAAAAGTATTCAATGAATTTATGATTAAATATCGTATTTATATAATTGGATATTAGAAATTAATTCTTTTTAGTTTTTTCCAATCCTTCCTCGTTTGCTAAGTAATGCTTTTATTTATTATCAATGTATTTACTGTTGTTATATATAATACTTTCAATATATATATATACCTATGCAAGCTTCCGAGAAACGCGTGTTCTTAAAGGAACGTTTCTCCAACCATCCAGTGAAAGTATAATTCTGCAATACTTCATCCGCAAAACATTCTTTAATAATTTGATTTGCTGAATTTCGAGGAGTCGTCCCTCCAAGATATTTTAGATATGCCACCTAACATATATATTCAAAACATATATACGTATACGAAAGTAAAAATCATAACATATACAAGTGTTAAATTAAAAATTTAATACTCACAACTGAACGATATTGCTCGTTAGTAACATTTCTGAAGTTTTTAAAATGTGCCACTATTATAAACGGCAAGCAATCTGGCTTACAAAAGGCTCCGCGAGGTCTTCGGCCGTCTTTCAAGCCACGGATCATAGCTTTCAATTCATCCATATATGTTCTGGTTCAGAAATAACACACATTTTATTATATTTTTAATTAATTCAGATAATCTGCACTTATAAAATATATTCAGGCTGCTTACCGGATTAATTCTTGCATGTCAGATTGCCAATGGTGCATCTTTCTACATAAGGAAAAAAACTCAAATTAGTACTAAAATTTAAAAAAATTTGAATTTTTAATTCTTCGTACTTACTCGAATTCATACCGAATAAATTCCGCGCCAATAAACTCAGCAAGTGGCTCCGTTTGCGTAGAGGAGTG